GGTTGACAGCCTGGTCTAATGCATACGGGACGTAAACTCACCGGTATTATGAGCGTGATGGTGCTGCGATCAGTGAAAGGTAAGGCATCAGGATCTTCGAGATCTCCCAGCTCAGGGTTACGAGAGAAGGCGATAGAGTTCCCTGGTCGTCCTTGAGACCTGAACACCACGCTCGCCGAGGGTTGTCCTGAAAAGTACGGGCCACCATCACTGATCAGGAAACGGTGTCCGTTGATGATTTCGCCATAATATGTCTGTGTTTCAAAGAGGTGGAGGCAATTAGCTGTTTTTCGCCATAGCACGCGAGTAGATCCCAACTTACATGGGCAGCAGCAGGCACCGTTGAGGTTTCAGCCTTGCCCTATTATTATCATTAGTCAAGTGGAGTCAGCGATTGCAAGGGAATGTGAGCTCACAGTAGACATGATTGAAAGTTGAAATGGGTCTAGAGAAACGTTTCTCGAGAATTGAGAGAACGAAGACCACAACAGGCGTGATTATATACCTGTGGCCGGCGGACGGAGCTACTGACTGGGCTGTGGCCACACACACGTAGAGCATCCTGCTTGAGCTGGCCACAAGGAACAAAGGCCTTTGGGACTGATATGACATGTAAAACACAAATTTCTCAGTAAAGAGCCCTATTCTACATAAATGCTATCGTCACGTAGCATGGTTCCAGTCCGGAAAGCTATGTACGCCTTGTTGTGTTGGTTTTGCCACCCGATTACTATTGGGCCCCAATAGACCAGTTTTGCTTGGAGACTAACATACACGACGCATTGAGCACGGAGTGTCAATACGCCGGGTTCAAAAACACAAAGGACCGCCTAGAGGTCTTCAAGGTATGCATGAGCTTGTGCATCTGAGGACAAAGTAGACACTAAGAGAGTGCACTCACATTCAAGGCCACAATTGCCGCTAGCCAGGCTTTGGACGTACACTAGATTCACGCGAGCGGGACACGTCTTTGAGAAACGGCAGCGGTGATATCGAGAGAGGAACGGATGTGATATCGAGAGTACAATGATGGCTTTAGCACTTGACTTGCCTGTTTAGGCATGTGTGACGGATGTGTCACGAGGCTGGACGTTACTATAAAAACCAAGTTACACCGCCAGGAAATGGCCAGCGAATGACCCGACAATGAGTACTGAGTGGTCTTAGAAAAGAGCCTAGAAATATCCATGAGTGGCGATTCGATCATGCACAGCAACTGGGACTCCCCGAGCAGTGTTTGAGCGCCAGTAGTATGTTGGCCGCCGACAGCCACGAGCTACACTCGATGCAAAAGTCAATCACCCGCTACTCAAGCCACCAAGTCTTCGTGAGGAGTGTTCGAGTCTCAGATGCTGCTGTAATTGCATTGGTAGTACTGTTTCTGGGGTGAGTCGCCTCGAGCGTTCAGTTGCCTCTGTATCAGACGAGCGCATGGATGGCACTGCGGCCATTGTTCTGCAACAACGCCGTGACTGATACCTTGGAAAACACGAGAACGATCACGCAAATGATCAGGCAAAGAACGACGTCGGTTAGTGCTTAGTCTCGGCTTCAAAAACTCACGCTGCTCTCGGATTCAACCTTCAGCGTTGGTTCCGTGCGGTGAAGCAATGCCGTAGCCCAAGGAGTCTCTGCACACATGGTGGGTGTTGTTGGCCACGATGCCGCTAAAATGGAGATGGTACGTTTGTTGCCTTGTAGTGTTCCAGTCAGACGACGGGAGAAGGCGCAGATGACAACTATCACTCCGAGCGCACAGGGCTTCCACCCCCGCCGATTGCTTATAATGAGCAACTCACTCTCTCATCGTCGCCCTCAGCCACCATGTCGGCCTCTACCCACGAGGAAAAGTTTGACCCTGCAGTGGAAAAGCATCGTAAGCACTCTCTTCGTCTTCATTTCCGCACATCTTACTCACATCCCATCGCATCCCTCAAGACCATGCTCCCCAGGTCAACATCGCTGACTTTGACGACCCAAACCTCGACCTCGACCACGTCGACACCCTCGAGGATGATTCTCCCTACCCAGAAGTCAGGTCCGCCGTAGCCAATACAGACGACCCAGACATGCCCGTCAACACCTTGAGAGCATGGTTCATCGGTCTCCTCTGGGCAATCATCGTCCCCGGCCTCAACCAGTTCTTCTTTTTCCGTTTTCCGGCCGTCACCGTCACCAGCGTCGTCGCGCAGCTCATTTCATTCCCTCTCCTTCGTCTCTGGGCACGCGTCGTGCCCTCCGTCAAAATCTTTGGCGTCTCACTCAATCCTGGTCCATTCACAATCAAGGAGCACGTCTTGATCACCATCATGGCCACCGTCGGCTACCAGTCTGCCTATGCCGTCAGTATCCCGTTGCTTTATTTGGGGGGTTGCTGCCACTGACATGATGCGATCTGCAGACCGACATTGTCGCTGTACAACGCGTGTTCTACAACCAGACTTACAACTTTAGCTACCAATGGCTGCTCGTCATGTCCACCCAGCTCATCGGCTTCTCCATCGGCGGCATCGCCAGGCGTTTCCTCGTCCAACCCCCCTCCATGATCTGGCCCACCAACCTTGTCACCTGCACACTCTTCAACACCCTCCACTCCCAGCAGTACGCAGGTATTGGAAACCGTGGTGGTATCTCCCGCGAACGCTTCTTTACCTATGGCTTCATCTGCTCCTTTTCCTGGTACTTCCTCCCCGGCTACCTCTTCACCGCCCTCTCCACGTTCAACTGGGTCTGCTGGATTGTTCCAAATAATGTTGTCGTCAACCAGCTCTTTGGTACTGCGTCTGGACTGGGAATGTCCATTCTCACTTTCGACTGGGCACAGATTGCGTACATCGGATCGCCACTCGCGACTCCCTGGTGGGCAGAGGCCAACATTGCGGGAAGCATGGTCATCTTCTACTGTACCTTCCTTTCTCCTTGCGTTTGCGTTCCACTTGTGGCTGATGTTGTTTCTCAATAGGGATCATCGTTCCCGCCCTGTATTACACAAACACGTGGTACTTCAAGTACCTACCCATCTCCTCCACTCATTCGTTCGACAACACTGGGAAAACGTACGACGTCACCCGCATTTTGGACGAGTCGGGCGCCTTCAGCGAAGAGCTCTACAAGGGCTACTCGCCGCTCTTCCTTTCGGCGACTTTCGCGTTGGCCTACGGTCTCTCGTTTGCGTCTATCACAGGTACGATTTCTGTAAGATCTGTTCAGAAGTATTACGAAGTAATGATCTTGTTTCTCCCAGCCACCCTCACACACACGTTCATATACTTCCGCAAGCAAATCTGGGTCCAGTCCCGCCGTTCCATGCACGAGCAGCCTGACATCCACGCTCGTCTCATGGCCAGGTATCCTCAGGTCCCAGAGTGGTGGTACGCCGTCATATTAGGTATATTTATCCTCTCCTCCCTTGTTACCGCCTCTGAGTCGTGTTCACCCAGTGACAATGTTCGTGTTTGGAATCATCGTAATTGAGGCCTGGCCGACAGGCATGCCCGTCTGGGCCTTTGTCCTGGCACTCATCATCTCCTTCTTGTATGTCATCCCCATCGGCATGATCCAAGCCATCACCAACCAGCAAGTTGGGCTCAACGTTATTACGGAGCTCATCATCGGCTATGCCCTCCCCGGAAAACCCATCGCGATGATGATGTTCAAGACGTGGGGGTACATCACCATGGCGCAGGCCTTGCAATTCACGAGTGATTTCAAGCTCGGGCACTACATGAAAGTCCCGTACGTCTCCCTCCTCTTTATTTGTCTTTCCAATCGCTCACTTTTTGTCTGCTAAACAGCCCTCGCCCAATGTTCTGGGCTCAAGTCACCGCCACCGTCGTGGCAGGCACCGTCCAACTCGGCGTCCAATCCTGGATGTTCACCAACATCTCCAACATGTGCGCCCTCGACCAGCCCGACAACTTTGTCTGCCCCAACACCCAAGTTTTCGGCACCGCCTCCATCGTCTGGGGAGTCATCGGCCCCGCACGCCAGTTCTCCTCCGGTCAGCTCTACTACGGTCTCCTCTTCTTCTTCCTCGCTGGTTTCCTCGCGCCCGTCATCACTCGCCTCGTGCAGATCAGGTACTCAAACGTTGTGCTCAAGTACATGAACTGGCCTGTCATCTTTAGCGGCACAGGTCTCATTCCCCCTGCGACACCGAGCAATTACGTGACTTGGTGTGTCACCGGGTTCATGTTCAACTACGTGATCCGTAGACGCCACTTTGCATGGTGGACGAAATACAACTGTGCGTCCCCCCCTCTCTCCCTGTCTACGTTGTTGTTCTCAACATGATGCTATCATTTTGCAGACGTCCTCTCCGCCGCTCTCGACTCTGGCGTCGCCGTCTCCGCCGTTGTCATCTTCTTCTGCCTTCAGTACCCTAGGAACGGCACCATCGGCGCCAACACCGTCCTCACCTGGTGGGGAAACGTCGTCTCGGGGAACACCGCAGACGCAATGAAGCTCCCGTTGTTGACCCCGCCCGCCAACAAGACGTTCGGGTGAGTCTTATGATCACTTGATGTTCCTTCTTCGGGAAAACGGGATGTGCTCACCTTTTTTTGCTACTCTAGGCCGACAGTGTGGAACTAGAATAGCCCATCGTTGCGACGGGGGGTCACTATCTGTGTGTGTGTAAGCGGGCCTTTTATAATGATTTCTTGGTAAATGTAAACTTCCTACTGTACATGTACTTGCTTGCAATGGATTGCTTTTTTGACAAAAACGAGTGTAACTTGATCATGCTGTTGTTATACAAGATTACCCAGTCGCGAATGTTCAAGTGGGAAGTGATACTTAACCTTAACACTTCAGCCACCCGCACGTCCCACCAACACCCCCTGAAACACGATATTCCACACCTTTCTGCAAAACTCTTCTGTACATCTCGACCACCAGAGAACCCCCCACCGTTCAGTGGTATATCTACAGGGAAAAGAAGAAAAGGAGGAGGAGGTGAGATACAAAAAAGATTGTAAATACAGTTGTTTGGACCAAAACTGCCCCAGTGAGGATCGAACTCACGACCTTCCGATTGCAGAATTACGTAAGCATCGTGTCATCTACCAGCTATAACAGTCGGACGCTTTGACCAACTTAGCCATGGGGCATATAGAAGACAATTGTTAAGTGTCAACATCATCCGCGTTGTTAAGCTCCAGCAGACCACTAGACGTCTTGAACTGCAAGAGCAAGCTTGAACGGCTGGGGGCATCGAGCCTTAGGTCAGCAGATCAAGGTTACGCATTGCGATGAGAATCTGTTTTTGGCACTATACGGTTGAAACCAATTCATTCGAGGTTAGTACAAATGTTTTGCGAGGAGATTAGATGTGCATAAGGGTGAAACCGTCGCAATTGTACTTTCGGCACACAGTACATGAATTCAAGTTCTAAAAGAAACTGTACATACATGGGCGAACACATCCACAGATTTATCTCTTGGTTGGCTCTAGATCTACTCCGTCTTTCCTCTTTCCCGCAGAGCAACAGGATGATTATTTAAGCAAAGTTGCGAGGCAGCCGGGACTTATTTTCCCTTCACGCGTGCGCACTTTCGAACGCAGCTGGCTTTTGGAGGCTAGCGGCGATGACACTATCGCGGCGTGCCGCGACAGCCTGAAAAAAAAAACCAGTCAACTCCTCTATGCCCAAACCATGGAAGAGAACAACAAGAAAACCCACCTCATCCAACCTCGTCAACATCCCCACCGTCGTCTCCCAATCCACACAAGCGTCCGTGATAGACACCCCGTACTTGAGTGCATGCGGACCCTCAGCGGGGACGTCTTGCCTCCCGGCGTTGATGTGCGACTCGATCATGACACCCGTGATGTTCCTGTCACCCGCACGGAGCTGTTCACAGATGCAGTCCACAACTTTCGGTTGGTTGTTATGGTCTTTTTGGGAGTTGCCGTCTGCACAATTTCGTCAGTGAACGTGGGATGTGTTGAATGGAGAGGGACAGCGACGTACGACTGCAGTCGATCATGATAGACGGGTGGTTCCTGGGACGAGCTTTTGCTATGGATTTTGCAGCGGCCTGGACATGCTCCGAGGCAAAGTTGGGTCCGGACGTTCCTCCGCGGAGGATAACATGCACGTCCTGGTTTCCGCGCGTCTTGACGATGGCGGCAAGACCTTGTTCGGTGACACCCATGAACGCGTGTGGGTTCGAGCTCGAGCGCATGGCATCGACCGCAACCGTTACCTACAAAACAACATATGAGATCAGCACGTTTCACCCGGAAGAAAAACAATACTCACGCTACCATCAGTACCGTTTTTAAACCCGATCGGGAAGGAAACACCGCTTGCGAGCTCGCGGTGAAGCTGGCTCTCGGTCGTGCGTGCACCGATGGCGCCCCAGGAGATCAGGTCAGAGATATACTGTGGTGAGATCGTATCGAGCAGTTCAGACCCAGCGGGAACACCGAGATGTGTGATGTCGCAGAGGAGCTGGCGTGCGAGACGGAGACCCTTGTTGATCTTGAAGGAACCATCAATGTCGGGGTCGTTGATCAAGCCTTTCCAGCCCACGGTCGTGCGAGGTTTCTGTGGGCAAGTTCGGTCTCCCCTTGTTTTTCTCGACGATCAAGCACGGGCTTACTGACCTCGAAGTAGACTCGCATGACGATGTGCAGGTTTGGCCAGGTTGACAGCTTTGACTTGAGAAGATTAGCGTACTCGAGTGCTTGTACTGGCGAGTGGATCGAGCAGGGCCCGACTATGACAATGATTCGATCGTCTTTGCCGGCAAGAATGTTGGCTGCGATGAACCGCGCCGAGGCGATAGTCGCTTTTGACTGGGGCGACGACTGGATTTCATGACAAAGGAGCGCGGGCTGAACCAGTGGGTCGTACTGCGTGACAGAAACATTGGTGAGTTTGTAGTCCAAAGGAGTGGCTTGAATGCAGGACGAGGAAGGTTTGTAGAGCATTGTAAGGGTATGCATTCCCAGCAGCGTCCCAGCCACGGGCTAAATACCCAGCCAAAATCCTAGTGCACACAGCCCAACGCTGAAGTTACATGATCCATGCGTAGGCGGAATACAGGCCACACCGCTGGTCGGCGCTGACATCCACCGCACTAGATGATCTTGATCATCTGCAATGTTAACAATTGCAGTCATCCGACGCCCATACCAACTCTTGTCTTTACACGTTCCTCTGTCCAGCGGAAAAGAACGTGTCATACCAAGCGTGTGCTTCGCGCATACGTGTATTGGAAAGATCCAATACACTGAACAGTTACCGAGGGGGCACACCTGTACTCTGGCATCTCAATGTATGCGCTTCACAGGGTCGTCCCTCTGCTCTGTTTTGCACCTGCCAGAGCAAATACACAGCGCGTCGAGGTTCGCCGACACTCTCGAAACGGCGCATCCACCAGCGCCAGGAGTAAAAATTTAGTACTCACACCAATGACTCGACGATCCGAGATGTATTTTTGGAAGGTCACGTCGTCTTCGGGCACCGGAGTAATGTCGTTGTTGTACTTGGAGGTCATGGTGCCGTTAGCTGCAGGCGGTGTCGTGAGTGCCACCTCAATTAAATTGACAGTACGGCTATGGTGGGCACATACCAAGCTTGGAGGGTCTGAGAGGCGACGATACTGGCATGGCGATAATGTTGTACGAGTACAGGGTTGGTAAGGGAGAGGGTAGTGAGTGTTAGTCGAGTTCAAAGTGTGGATGAGAGCTGCAGCTTTATATGCAAGCATTGCAAGGGGACTTACGTTAATAGGACCGGTATTTTCTCGATTTGTGTGCGGAAGCGCTACTGAGACTGTTCTGTGTTCACCCTTGATGCAGAGATCTGGCTGATGGCTGAGTGATGAACGTTGCACGTTTGCGGTACACGGTTGCAGAACGAGCGAGGAGCAGATGAGAGTTTGAAGCAAGAACTGATTCAGCCGGCGGACCACTGTCGTGCAGCCACCATGGCCAATTGCCGGCAAAAGCTCGAGTAGAAAGCGATGCGTAAGCCTGTATGCCCACCTGGCTACCTCGAGTGCTCCCGGTGGCAATGTAACCTTTTCCATTGGCGGTGTTACGTGCAGCGAGGTCGTCGCCGACGTCGAGCTCGAACGCAACAGCCGCCAATGCTGATGATATTTTTTGATGGGTACACTGACGCCCATAGTTCTCTCTTGCCACGACCTCCGAATCCCATCGGCTATCCGTACGAGCGCAGCAGACTGCAGACACACCAAACTCACAGTGACAACAATCGTATTGCAAAAATAAGCAATGGATGTCCTGAACAGCACCATTCGAGCCACGCTTTCGCCTCTCGCTGGGTTCTGCATCAAGTCTTCGGCCCTCCAGCCAGCCGTGTGCAAAGTCACTGGTGAATCTACCGCTGCGTTGTCAGCACAGACATCGTCAGCCATACTACCGCTGAATAACACCATCGCGGTTGCAAGGGGCCAGAAAGTATTCATCAATATTGCTTGGGACGCAAATGTACCTCCGCCCCCGGACGCGAGTAACGACGAAATCCAGAAAGCAATGAACGGAGGACAGGACTTTGATGACGACGTGCTGGCCAGTGGCGGAGCATGGTTTGTGCCGGTGATAGTCTCAGAGCCGCGCACCGACGTAGACAAGGGTATGTGGCCCTGCCGCAGCTCGCCTGCTCCGAATTGACTGAGATCTCCTGACAGTCGCGTGTTCCTAAACATCCTACAGCCGGTAAACCATCCATCGTCTTTGACTGTGTCTACAACAGCTCTCTTAAGTCGCGATGTCTGCGAGAGCCAAACTTTCGCGCGTTCCTGACCGGTGCGTTCTTCTTCTTCAACCTTGACATAATCCGTTATTGAGTGCCAAACAGAGCTCGGATTACAGCGGATCGAAGCACAGCATTCCGTTGCACTCTCACGTCACCTCGGCACGCCTAACATCGCGTCGAAAGGAAAGCTCTTTCCAAGAACTGCTCTCGTCCCTTTACGACTCTACCCCGAAGCACACCCTCTCCGAGAGCAAGTCACAAAGCAAAAGGCGTCCCTGATTCAGGAAATCGAACCACAAGCCCCGCCGGCAACTATCCACGAGAAGTCTACAGAGTCAAAACCGAAAGGCATTCTCAAAAACCTTACACAGGATCCCCGCTCGCAAACACCCGAGAGCGATGATGTGAAACCCAGGTTCGCCTGGGCGAAAGAAGGCGACCGGATAGCGATCAAAGTGCATGCACCGAACGTGGTACGTCTCTTCCAGCAGAAGGAGACCGTGGTTGTCTTTTTTCTTTCTCCCTCGTGAGCCCGAGCCCGAAAGTTGTGCAATAACCACCCGGGTATCCCATCGGGCTGACAGTGTACCTATTTTCAGTCGCGCGTCCGCGTCAGCTTTCACACTTCACCCCTCCACTCAGCATTCATTCCATCCGCTTGTTGAAGCTGTGCTTTTATCTCTAATCACTGATCCTCATATATGACTTGTACTAATCAACTCTGTTTTGTCTCTGTGTCTATGCAGACCCGAGTACAAGTCCAAAACGCGACGCTCGACGTGGAGCCCCGGCGCGTGATACTGCACGTTCCTCCTCATTACACACTAGATATCGATCTCTCGTTGTCGGACGCTCAAATCGCAGCAACGTTTGGAGGGACATCATCAAGCGAGGACTCGGTGTTGATGCTCAAACGCCAGAGGGAGTTTGATGTTGAGGGTGCAAAGGCAGAGTGGAGTATACAGCAAGGGAGGCTGACGGTGTTTGTGTGATTGCAGAGGAAAAGCGAATATTTATTTGTGGTACATAGATGTTTTTCGTGTGGTTCTCAGTTGCTTTGCCTTGCTCATGGTTTGTTGAATAAGACACGACCACCCAAACGAGAGCTTTGTAAGTCTCGTTGCAGTTGGGTCCGGACGAGTAGCCAGCGCCATCCTATATATCGGACTGCATATTTTTGATCTACGAAGAGCTCGAGCGAGTAGGTTCGTGACCTAAGACAGCACATCATCCCGAAAAGCACGGAAAGAATGTATTTGTGGAATATACAACAGGCTGGCGCATTAGATACTTTGATAAAAAAAGATATCTACACAAGAGGGACACAGTGTTCTTCATAACGACGTAATATCGAGTTAGTGATAATATGAAATGCA